GCATGCCTGGTTCTGGAAGCTCGACATCTGGGGCCGATGCCACCTGCCGCTCCCACGTCCTAGCCAAAAGCGTCTATGGACACATGGGATGCCCTGACGTCCATGGTTTGACACCTCCAGGGTGGATACGCCCATGGACAGCGGGGCCGTCACGTCTCCTCCTCCTCCTCCTCCTCCTCCTCCTCCTCCTCCTCCTCCTCCTCCTCCTCCTCCTCCTCCTCCTCCTCCTCCTCCTCCTCCTCCTCCTCATCTTTAGGGTCGGGGAAAGGATAGGTACGTCTGCGGCATGCTCCTCTTCCAGAGCAGGCCCCACGCGGTGCTCCACGCTCGGCCCGCTGCCCCGGGCCTTCGCTCGGGCTGGCGCACTGGTGGCGCCGCCTCCCGCCCACGACCTCGCGCGCTGCCGCGGGCTCCGCGCCGCCCGCGGGCTCCCCTCGAGCGCTCGAGGGTCGCCCCCTCTCTGCACCGGCTGCGTCGTCTTGGGGGCCTCTGGTGGACGATCACACGCTGCCGCCAGCACGCGCTCGACCCGCTGTCTCGGGCGGCGCTCGGGCCGGCGCGCCCGGCCCTCGGCGCCGCCCCTCGCCGCCCTGGCAGCCGCTCGGGCTGCCTCGGCTGCCGCTCTCGGGCCGCCGCCGTTCGGCGGCAGCCCGCGCTCCGCTCGGCGTGCCACGGGGCCCAGCTCGGTCCGAGCGATGCGGCTCGGCATCGACTCTCAGAGGAGGAACGGGTACCCATACCGCTACCCGTCGGCCGTTTTCCCCTCGTTCGGCCTCCTGGGGGGCCCTCGTCGCCACCGCTGGATTCGCTTCGAAGTTCTGGTCAGAACACACCCCGGGGGAGGCCCGGGGAGCAGCGGTATCATTACCTTCTGGTTTCCCCAGACTGCGGCCGGATCGATCCGACTCGATGCCGGACTGCCGACGATCCGAGGCGTCCCGGTGTCTGCACGGCGCCGTCGTGCATCTTGGCGCAGCCAGTCCGGCCCGATGCGGTTTGGATGTTGAGCCGGTGCAGCCCGATCCGAAGCACACGTCCCGATCTGCTCCGATCCGACGTCCCGGTTCCTCAAGACCTGGGCACCCCAAGGGTCGAAGCACAGGATGAGTCGACGTCGCTCTTCTTGGCACGTTCGGTCGGGGACTTCGGGCCCCCGAGATCGGCTTACGCCCTCACCTGTCCGGAAAGTGACTGCATGCCGCCGCCGGACCGCATCCCACCAGCCGTGTAGTCTACACCGCGCCGCTGGTGCCCGTATTTCCCGATGCGGTGCTGACTGATCTTGCAAGCGGGCTCCGCTGCTGGCCGCGCTGCCGGCCGTCGCTCGAGGCCGCCCTGCCCGACCGCGGGGTCGGCCTCTGCGCGCCGCTCTGCGGCGTGGCCGCCCCGGGGAGTGCCCTCTCTGGCCGCCTCCCGTTCCAGCGGCGAGAGCTGCGCGCACGCGTCGGCGGGGAGATCCGAGCCCTACCCTCGCCCATGCACGATTCGGGCAACTCCTCCTCCTCCTCCTCCTCCTCCTCCTCCTCCTCCTCCCCCTCCTCCTCCTCCTCCTCCTCCTCCTCCTCCTCCTCCTCCTCCTCCAAGCGGTGGGGGCAGGGTTCGGAACTGGTCGAAGACGTGCCGAAATCCAGGCCTTACCCCCGCCTCCCATCGATTCAGGATCGGCACGAACGAAATGGGCACGGAAAGAATGGGCACAGTGCCCAGCAGCAGTTCCTGTTCATCTTGAGCAGGACTCGCTGTCCGCACCGCCGCGGCCTGTGTTCGCTTGAGACAGACGGCCGCCTGCCCAACAGCGGCCGCTGGTGGTTTGGAGCAACATGTGTTGTTGGGCGTTGTGCCCGTTTTTTCCGTACCCATTTCGGGCGTCCAAGCAGGAGAATCGGGCCAGACGAAAGGGGGGGATTGAGAAAGGGGAGGTTACGAAATCTGCTGCATGCAGCTGGTTTCGGCCCCACCGAGGGACCCATGCCTCGATACATGGCCGCCTCCGGCGCCGGGAGGCGCTGGGAAAATCAGCTACGCAAGCTGATTCTCAAACCCCCCCTTTGCTATCCCCCCCTTTCGCCCAGCCCGAGAGAATCGATGCTTGGTTGGGGTAGGGTCGGGATGTCTCCACCCAATGCGCCGATCTTGGCCGCACCGATCTGGGGCCCACAGGGCCCTGGAAGAGCAGTGAAAAGTTGAGCCTCGGCCGGCCTGTGTTTTTTCGTCGCCCGTCGGCTCTCCGTCGTTGTTGGCCTCCGGGGGCCGCCTTCGGGCCCCGGGGCCGTCGGAAGCGGACCCGGGATGAACGTGTACCCTTAAGTCGGGCATGTCTTTCGACAGGAGGAACATTCAAAAATAGTCAAAAAATAGTCTGGGGACGATTTTTCGATCATGTTCTATCAGTTTTGAATGTGTGGGGGTATTTTATATTTGTTTCCCGTTTTTGCATATTTTCTGGTATGTTTCATTCTTCGCCCAAAATCCTGCTGTAGGGGACATGCCCGACCTAACCCCAGGGCAGTCCCCCAGAGGATCCATCGGCGGCACGACCCGCCAGAGCTGCCTCACTTTGACGGGGGTGGGGGCAGGATCGGAACACACATGCCTCCCTGACCAAGCCAGGAGGGCGTGTGCACGGATCCTGGGCCCAGGGTGAGCTTTGCGCGAGCGTCGGCGCATGTGCGCAGTATTCAGTCGGGCATGTCCCTCTACAGGCGGATTCGTCAAAAAGTGTCAAAAGACAGTCTGGGGACGATGCTTCCAGTATGCTCTGCTCTTCGGGGGCACTGCTGTGACCAGTCCTCAGCTTTCGTCCAGAATCCGCCTGTAGGAGGACACGCCCGATCTCAGCGTAGCACCCTTCCTTCGAACCCTGCTGTGTGCGCAAGTGCGACTCAAGTTCGACGCAAGTCGTCGGCGGACGTGCGATGCAGCGTTGGCGCACGAGTGGAGCGTGCAGCTCCGCAGGAGGGTGACCCAGAGCGAGCGCCTGAATGGCCCGAGGTCCCCCCCCCTGAGGTCCGCCAGAGGTCCCTGGGGGGGCCCCCGGAGGCCTGGCCTGCGGAGGCCTCTGGGGTGACGGGGCGTGCCCCCCCTGGGGGCCGCCGCCGGGTCTGCCGCCCTCTGGGCCGTCTCGGCCCGGGGGTGGCCTTCCCAGAGCTCCGACGGTGTGATGCTCTCCACCTGGCGGCCTGCCCTCGATCCCGGCCCGCTCTCGGACCCCCTAGGGCATCCAAGATGGAGCCAGGACGAAAAACTTCCTGCTCCTCCTCCTCCACCTCCTCCTCTTCCCCCTCCTCCTCCTCCTCCTCCTCCTCCTCCTCCTCCTCCTCCTCCTCCTCCTCCTCCTCCTCTCCTCCTCCTCCTCCTCCTCCTCCTCCCTCCTCCTCCTCCTCCTCCTCCTCCTCCTCCTCCTCCTCCTCCTCCTCCTCCTCCTCCTCCTCCTCCTCCTCCTCCTCCTCCTCCTCCTCCTCCTCCTCCTCCGCTCCTCCTCCTCCTCCTCCTCCTCCTCCTCCTCCTCCTCCCTCCTCCTCCTCCTCCTCCTCCTCCTCCTCCTCCTCCTCCTCCCTCCCCTCCTCCTCCTCCTCCTCCTCCTCCTCCTCCTCCTCTCCTCCTCCTCCTCCTCCTCCTCCTCCTCCTCCTCCTCCTCCGCCTCCTCCTCCTCCTCCTCCGCCTCCTCTCCTCCTCCTCCTCCTCCTCCTCCTCCTCCTCCTCCTCCTCCTCCCTCCTCCTCCTCCTCCTCCTCCTCCTCCTCCTCCTCCTCCTCCTCCTCCTCCTCCTCCTCCTCCTCCTCCTCCTCCTCCCTCCTCCTCCTCCTCCTCCTCTCCTCCTCCTCTCCTCCTCCTCCTCCTCTCCTCCTCCTCCTCCTCCTCCTCCTCCTCCTCCTCCTCCTCCTCCTCCTCCTCCCTCCTCCCTCCTCCCCTCCTCCCTCCTCCCTCCTCCCTCCTCCCTCCTCCTCTCCCTCCTCTCCTCCCTCCTCCCTCCTCCGCCTCCTCCTCCTCCTCCTCCTCCTCCGCTTCCTCCTCCTCCGCCTCCTCCTCCTCGAGCCAGGACGACAACTTCCACCGCCCCCAGGGAGCCAGTCGACACTTTTGGTGCCGCAGGCCGAAAAAACGTCACAGCGGCGGACGTCAGGGCTCTCGTCCTCCGCCTTACGGTGATGGTGGCGTCGTTTGAGGAATGTGCCCAGGAGGCGTCAGACCCTGGAGGATCCCTTATCTGATGAGGGCGGCGGTGATATCTATGGACTATCCGCGATTGGAGTTCCACTAATTTCCAGACCCTGGATTCCTTACACGGTAGGTCGTTGTCCAATGCCCTCACCGTATTTCGGGCCGTGCCGAGGGGGATCACTGCTAGGAGGGTCACCAGTTCCTCCCGAGGATGGCTGCTCCAGGATCGATACTCGAGGAGGTGTGTTTGGACGCCTGGGGTCGTTTGGGGGTCCTCCTCCTCTTCCTCCTCCTCATCATCATCCTCCTCCTGATTCCTCAGGGAAGTGGCGACCCGCGCAATGGTGACCCCACTGTGGTATTGCCTGGCCCGCTGGCAGGTACATCTCCCCAGGCCCCCACCAGCCCGAGGTCGAGCCTCGAGCATCGAGGTTCGAGGATCGAGATTTTTTGTGCATTCCTCGTCCCTCTTTGGGGCCTCGGTGAGGCTCCTCGTGGCCGGCGGCTGGATCCGCCTCGAAGGTCAGGCCAGGAGGCATCCCTAGGGAGCTTTGGGGGGGCCGATCCTTGACCCCCCAGAGGCAAAGAGCCCCTCTGGACCTCCCTCGTCCCTGCTCGGGCACTGGCTTCCAGGTCGTCTCTTCACCAGCTCCTCGGACTGCAGAGCGCCGGTGGCGTTGCAAGGGTCGCGAGAAGCTGTCCCGCACCGCGACTGGGTCACTCGATTGTGCGAATATGTCTGCTTGACTTGTGTCTGCTCTTACATGCCTACGGCGGTTGGACCCCGAAGGCCTTCTCCCTCCTCGTCCTTCTCCTCCTCCGTCCTCAACGCTATTGTCGGACGCGGCTGCACAATGTGATCAGCACTGTGCCCGGGAGGAAGGGGCAGATTTGAATGGGTTGTGACAGCACGGTCAGCAGTAGGTCCGTGGCCATGCGAACAAATGGCGAGTAGGGTCGTGCCCATGTAGGTTCAAGAGAGCTTGTGGCCGCTCGCGGACAGCGGGGCGGAGCGCGCGATGCTGGCGCGCGGCGCGCCGCAGGCCTTGGTGGCGCTGCTGCTGGGCACGTCGGGCTCGCCCGCGCCCGACGCTTCAGGCGGCGATTGCACAGAGTGGTCGCTCGTGTGGTACACGCATGCCATGAGCGAGGAGCACTACGTGACGAGCCAGCTACTGGCAGGACTCCCCGTGCGGCCTCCAGTCTTGAGCCGGCCCTTGCGCACCATAGCGGAGGCAGCGCTGCGCAGCGGGGACCCTGCAGCGGCAGCGGCGGCGGTGCACGGCGCCGCGCCGCAGCCCGCGTTTCCAGCGGCGCCGTGGCGGGGACCGCCAAAGCAGCTGCAGGCAGCCATGGTCCAGGCGGCGGCAGATGTTGCCGCAGGCATGCAGGACTGCACCATCGCCGTCACGCGCCTGCGGATGTCGCCGAAGTGCGCAGCGAGCGCCAGGCTCGCGGAGGCCTGCCAGTCCCGTGGCCTGCGGTGTGTGTTCGTGGTGCTGGGAGAGGAAGGGGACGGCTGCGGCGCCTGCCAGGCGTTCTACAAGGCGGCGCAGCTGGTGATCCGCAACTACCACAATCAGGACTGCGCCACGCTCGGAAGCCGAGTGCTGACGGTACCCATGGGTCTGGCTCGCCCGCTGCCGGAAGGGTTGCGGCGCGGCGGCCTTCCTGCCAGCGCGCGGAGGTGGGCCTGGAGCTTCGCCTCCCAGCACGAGACTCGCCCCCGCACCCAGGTCGCCCGATTCTTCCAGAGGCGGTTCCAGGGCCAGCAGGAGCACAGATTCCGGTTGGTCTACCCTGGGGAAGACCCAGAGTACATGGCCACGTTGTGCGACAGCAAGTTCGCGCTCTGCCCCCGCGGCAACGTGGAGGACACTTGGAGACTGCACGAGGCCCTCCACTGCGGGGCAATCCCCGTGGTTACGGATGGGGGAGAGTATTTCCCGCGATATATGCCAGAGAGCCTCACCCGCCATTTCGTGACGGCCGCGGCGGACTTGCGGGACGGCTCTCTAGAGGCGGTCGTGGCGGAAATCGAACGATTACTGCAGAGTCCTGAGGAGCTCTTGCGGAAGCAGCAGCTCTTGCTGAAGGCGCACGCGGACTTCGGGCAGGAGTGGAGCCGCAGTGTGTTGCAAGGGGTCGGCGCCGTGGCGACACATCGTGCTCAGGCGCCGCGCAGCGCTTCGGGCGAGCTGTGATTGACGCCCAGCGGAGCGCTGATAAAAAATGTTGGGCAGCTTCCTGCATCGTGCCTCACCATGGTGGCCTCGGGGGCGGGTTTACGGTGTCAGCACTGCTACTCGCACAGTATCCACGCACAGTCAGCACTGCTACTGCTTCACGCTTCGACGATGAGAAAAAGAACCCGGGCTTCGCTAATGTGTTCACCTGTGTGGGTTTCGTGTTCTCTCACGGCCACGTCTGCACTCGCACCCGGCGGCTCTCGGCCCGCAGTCCCGCTCGACGGCCCGCGGACGACGCGCTTGAGACCACGAGAGGGAAAGGGTGGGCGTCGCCAAGCGCTCGCTCCTCTCGCAGTCTCAAGCGGGCCTCGTTGCGTCAGGCCGCCATGGCGGCCTGGAGCGCGCCCGATGTCCGACGCTGGCAGCTTCTATCCGCGGCCGTCGGAATTTCAGAGGACTTCTAGGGAAAGGAAGATGGTCGAATGGATCTCGGTCCCTGATGCCGAGGTCTCTTTGATCTGGCGGCCTCAAGGTGAGGGAAAGAAGAGGAACAGAGAGGGGAGAGGGGCAGTGGAGCTCGCGCCATATCTGACGTCCTACCCCTTCCCACCCGTTCCTTCCCAATGCGCGGAAGCATGTTTTATCCGCCGACTGGTGTGTCGACACGACCATGATCCCCAGAATGACCCGATCGTGCGTTGCGAAATCGGACGGGGAACCTTGTACAGTTGAGGAGGAGGTGATGGCGGACGAGCAGGAGGAAGAGCAGAATGATGAGGCAGGCGGAGCAGAAAGAGCAGGAGGAGTAAGAAAGGAAGGAGGAGCAGGAGGACCAGGTGAAGGCGGAGGAGCGGGGAAAAGGAGGACGGCAACGACGAGGAAGGATTATGAGATACGAGCGACGGTAGCAGAAAAAAACAATCCCGAAATGCATCCAACGCTGATGCGGGAGCACCAGTTCTGACGGACTGGGAACGTTCCGAACGAAAAACACATACAACGTACCAAGTGTTGAACCCCGAACTGTGAACAAAAAAGGGGGACACTATTAGTTGTCATGTTGGTTGTGGAAGGGGGGGCATGGGAAGGATTGTAGTGGGGGATGACGAGGAGGAGGAGGAAGAGGAGGAGGAGGAGAAAGAGAGAGGAGGAGGAGTGAGGCGGAGAAGGAGGAGAGTGACGACCAGGGAAGGGCGAGGAGTCGGAGGAAAGAGAGATGAGTCAGGGAAGCGCCGTGGGAGGACATTGCTGGCAGACGTTCTGTTGCTGGGGGCAGATGTGGTTCTGGATGCCACGGTGCTCGGCATCTTCCTCGGCCAGCGTCGCCTTTGGGTTCTTAGCCTCAACGCGATTGGCATGCCACGGCTGCGCCCATCTGCCGGGAGGCGGGCAGGGAGGGGAAGATGGAGGGAGGGGAGGGGAGGGGAGGGAGCCAGTCCACGGCTGCGACCTTCCTGCCTGAAGGGATGGAGCGAGGGGCGATTCACCCCTTGGCAGCGTTGCCGTTCTTCTCTCCACTGCACCCCATGCCACAAACCAGAAACGGCATGTCCGCTGACGTACATCCTGCGTTTCACAACGCACGGGGGGGACCGTGAGTCATCTACGCTGGCGCGAAGGTGTGTCCTTGGGCGTTGTCCTGTAGCAAACCGCCATCGCATGCACGTACAATGCGTAAGCAATGTTTATAGACATATTTCTAAATATAAATATATGTTTATATATATACCTATACATATATATATATATATATATATATTCATTCATATACATATACATACATGCATACAGACAGACAGACAGACATTCATCCATTCATACATACATGCATGCATACATGTGTGTGTGCATTTGATGGGGTGAAGTGGAAGCATGAGCCCGGCGCGACCCTAATTAAGGGAAAGTTTCTTGTTGCATGGGCGCAGTGCTTGGCAGTGCTTGGCATTGCTGGGCGCAGTGCTTAGCATTGCTTGGCAGTGCTTGGCATGAGGCACCGGGGGCAGGGCACCCGGGGATCCCAGGGAACCTCCGAGAAACGGGCAAAGAAACAACAGGAGGCACCGGAGGCGGGGAACCTGGGGAGCCGGGGGAACTTCCGACCAGCGGGCAACGTAACATTAGTAGGCACAAGCTTTCTACCAAGTAAGAACCCCTTACGCAAGCCTGATGGGGGGAAAAACGTGTGTGCAGGCGAGTGCCAGAATGTTCCCAAAACGGCCTTCCGAAGGCGCCTTGATGGGCCGAAAACCGTTTGGATTCACAGCGTTTGACCATTACTTTGGAGGTGGAACGCTGAGGTTGGAGATGAGGAGGCATACGAGGCCGAGGAGGTGGAAAAGGCAGAGGAGGAGGAGGAGAAGGAGGCGGAGGAGGACCAGTCCGCTGGACAGGGGAGGGGGATGAGGAGGAGGAGGAGGAGCAGGAGGAGAGGTTGTGAAGCACCGTAGCCATTTTGGCTCAAGCCGCACCTCCCCAACATCTTGGCTGTATGTGCTTAGGTAATGGCGCCTCGTTGGTGAGTTCTGTTTGAGATGGCGACGGCAGGAAGCCAACCGAGGCTTCCTCGTGATGCGCGTCGGCGGGAGGCTGCGCTGACCGCCCAAGTCAAGTTCAGCGCACTGCAGAACAAGATCATCGAGCTGGAGGAGCAGGGACGCATGTGTACTGACCCTGATGTCCATGGCCGCCTGCTCGCCATCATGCCCTTCCTGGCCGCGGACGTGTCCGCGCCCCGCCGTGGCGATACGGCGGTGCACTCGCGGATGGAGGTCGTCATGCGCAACGTTGCCATGCATGCTTTCGACATCCCCATGGCCCAGTTGCAGGGCCTCACGTCCCAGGACCTGAATAAGGTGCAGCGGGGCTGCCGCTGGCAAGGACGGCTGGGCGCACCGATCGTGGAGTCGACCCTGCGTGCCGACGCTAACCCGTTCGTCCCGCGCGGCCCCGAGGCCCTGCCCGCAGGTGGAGGCTGGGAGATGTTGCCGCCAGTCGGTTGCCTCTGGACGTGCGGCTCGACCTTTTTTCTCGAGCTGCTCGAGGAGGCCGGGGCCGCCAGGGCCCCTGCGGGGGAGGACTGCCCTGTCGCTGCAGCCGCTGCGGGAGGCTGCTGCCGATAACCAGACGTTTGCGGGTGTGGACAACGGGCTAGGGGAGCAGAACGACGCAGCAGATGAGCCGAACGAGGCGGCAAACATCGACACATGGGAGGCATCGACGTGCGACTCGGAGGAGCTCGCATACCCCAGTGGCTTCGTCGAGGCTGAAGCCGCTACCGCCGCCGCCTCGGAGGAGTACCTGTTCTGGGTCGGCCTGCCTGCGCGGGAGTTCATGCAGGCACGGGCCGCCGCGCAGCCGCCTGTGCCGATCGCGCATCCCTTCGTCTGCCGCCGCGTGCGCATCGAAGCCAACGGCCCGAGCGGCGAGGCACAGGCATGCTGGTGGCTGGAGTGTTCGGGCCCCTGCGGGGGATGACTGCCCCGCGGTTGGCGCCGCCGCTGGCGGCGCAGGCATCCGCGGCATCGGACCGCCCACTGATATAACCTGTGAGCAACCGTCATCCCTCTCTCACTGAACGAAGGCTTGATTGATTGGATTGCTCACATTTTGCTGTTTCGCACATTACAGTTAGCTGGTGAGCATCCCGTCACTCATGTCTTATACAAGTATGTAAACATGTTGTTGCCCTTGTAATGGGTTATCTCTGCGAACGATGTATTGGTCGGAATGCTCACATGCTGCATTGCCTTTCTGCATCTGTGTTGTTCTTTTTCCTGTCATCTGAGTTGTCGTATATTCTTAACTGCGCTCCTTCACAGGTTGTGTTGATGAATCATACATCATGCAAGATTCCTTATGTCAATTATTATATGGTGCTGTGCTTCGCCCTTGGCTTGGAGCGTGCACTGGGTGGCTGGCAGCGGTGGACCCACCTCTGAGTTGTGCGCTTCCCTTTGTTTCTCGTGGAATGCCCTTTGCGCCTCGGGTTGCACGATGATGATGAGAGGTTGTGAAGCACGCTCTGTGCTTGCCAACACGATGACGATGTTCCAACCCCAAGAAGTTCCCCGATACGTTCGCAAGAACGCGCGCCCTTGTTTGCAACCCCTCATCAATGCATCTTTTTGGGCTCCTCACCTAGTCCCAGCCCTCCTTCCTCCTCCCGCCTCATCCTCACGTCTTTCCTCCTATTCTTCTCGTCCTCCTGCTCATCCTCATCCTCTCTCCGTGTCCTCGCCGCTTCTGTCCCTTATTCCTGGGCCACCGCATGTTCTCTCCCTCGTCCCTGGTCAGCACCAGCATCCCTCCTCTTCCTCGTCCTCCTCCAGCCCCCATACCCCCCTGCATCGGCCCTGGGCACTTCCCACTCCCAGCGGCGCTCTCAGACATGGGCCTTGCGGAAGCAAGAGGGGCAGGGGGGTCTCGGCCTTTGGAAAGAAGGGGGGTTGGCTCCTTTCTCCCATCTCTTCCAGTTCCTCCACCTCCTCCTCCTGATCATCATCATCCATGCCTCTTTCGAAAAAAATAACTCCACCGCGTCGCACCACCAGACGCGTCCGCAGGCCGGGCCGGGCGTTTATTGCTTGAGATTTTTTCATAAGTAGCGATGCTGAGGCTAGGAAATTTCAACAGTTTCAAGGGAGAGAGGGCGGGTGGTTTTCAAAATGCGGTTCTCTCCCCAGCGCTTCGTCTGAAACAATTAAATGAATGTCGGCTGGTTCGTTCTCAAACCTGCGATTCTCGCCTAAGCGCCGCGACACTCGCGGTAGGATGAAGGCCAGTTAGCTTCCAAATGTGATGTTCGTTCTAGCACCGCGCGCATTCGATTCGAAAAATTGCAACCAGTTCAAGAATTGAGCTTGAATCGTTTTCGAATAGGTTTCTCGCCCTAAGGGTGCGAACAGTGGTCGCAAGAGTTCGCAAAAGCTTCAAGAATATAGGCCGGCTCGTTTTCATAATGCGATGATCGCTCCAGGAACGCGCACATTCGTTTCAACGGTCTGCAACAGCTCTGAAAATGGATGCCAGCTCGTTTTTTTATCAAATCATCGCTTGAGCAACGCGCGCATTCATCTTCAGAACTTGCAACAGCTTCAGGGTTCGTCGGCTCTGTTTCAAAATGTTTATTCACGCTTCGCGTATCCTCACCAGCCCATCTCAAAACAGCA